ATGACGCAAAAAACATCGTTAAATTGCATTCGATAGCGGTCAAAATGGATATTTTCGTTGAAATATGCTGCCTGAAACTTTTTTGCGATTACAATACTTCCTTTTTACTTCTTCGTACAAGGAAGTAAAAAGGAAAATTTTAAATTGCAATCTTTTTTCTCTGAACCAATAAGTTACAAACACAGCAAGATGTTATACAGTTTAAAAAATTTACTTAGCCCAGTTAATTGCCGATGAGTGGAGGTGAATTAACTGCGGTGTAGAACAAAGACCCCTGTTTTTTGTTTGTTTGTTTGTTTCCTTTAAAAAACTCTTCAGTTTTTTTATATTGCGAAGCCATAAAAAAATTCACAGATCATCAGCGTAAAACAAAACTGTCTACGGAAAATACAAAAAAGGAAAGAAAAGGGCGTCGTCTAATAGCAGTGATAGCAAATGATGTTGCAGTACTTGTGAGTTGTTTTTCCCACTACAGTGTGTAATTTAGCTGTACGGAATTCGGAAAATATCAACATTGCTTAAATCAATATCCAAAACATAACAGCATTGTTTAAATCAATATCCAAAACATAACAACATTGTTTAAATCAATATCCAGAACATAACAACATTGTTTAAATCAATATTCGGAACTTATAAACATTGCTTAAATCAACACATAAATACTGTTTAAATTAATATCCGGAAGATATAAACTTTGTTTATATCAATATCCGGAGCATATAAACATTCTTGAAATATATATCCGAATAACAAAACATTATTTAAATCAATATTTGAACATATAAGTATTGTTTAAATCATCCATTAAAAGTGCGGGTATATTTCTCAGTCATTAAAATAAATGAAGTATGCAGCCGTCAATCTATTTTAAGTAGACTCCAGTCGAAAAAGAAGAGTAATAAAAATAAGGACTTATTTTTTTTCCCTCGAATACTAATTTAATTGACGAAACCCAATGAACATATCGTCCAGAGCAAAATGCTTCACATACAGGTAACTCGTAAATGGTATTTTTCTGTTAATGATAGTATAGATTATTCCTTTGTCCTGTGCTTTTTTAACTGCCCTCGAACGAACTCAAATTTTGGGTTAGATATGGAGGTCGTCCCTAACCCCGGCAAATCGGAACTTGTTTGTAAATTTGAAACAAGGTTTTGGAATTTCCACTGATTTGTTGAAATTACTTTGGAATGTTTTAAAGATGGATTAGTTACGGTAAATGTTAGATAATACGGCAATTTTGGAACTTCGGTAATGTACAATTCTGAAATATTCCAAATTGTTGCAATTATTAAGAATATACACCAAACACAACTTTATAAATACTATAAGGCAGGGTTTCTTAAACTTTTTCATTCAGTCGCGACCCCTTTTTATCACTGAGATTTTTTCGCGACCCTCAGGAATCCATAAGATTTACATAAATTTTGTGAGACTCCATAAGTATTGCGCAAATCCGATACACGCGTGAGTGAAACTGTCAAATTTTTTCACTTGTACTGTAATATACTATTGCAGTTTTAAGTCATTAACTTTAATTGAGTTTCTAATTTTAAGACATAGAACAATGTGAAAATTTTAAATAAGTAACAGACGAAATGACAGCATCACGTGCAAAGCAAGGAAAATGAACGTTTATATTATAAAAAGAAAGCGTGGAATCGTTTTCGTTTTTTTCTTTGTCTGTATTATCTTATCCTTATCTATTTTCAGATACATTGTGTAAAAATATTTGTAATCTTAAAATTATTATATTAAGTTAAAGAAATATCAAAACTGCTATTGGCAATCCCCAGCTGCAGGTACTGTGACCCCCTTAGGGGTCGCGACCCACAGTTCAAGAAACCCTGTTATAAGGTATTTCTTCCGCCTTCTAAGCACGCCATCGGGGAGTAGTGGTCAGCACGGTCCATGGTTCGAGTCCCGGCGAGGGCGTAGCTCATTTTTCATCTCTCCTGCTTCGAAATAACCTAACGTCTCTACATTGACGCCCGAACTAAAAATGTTTGCAGTTGATGGTTCCCACTAATAAGATTTGGCAATTGTGTCCCCTAATCCCCAGTCGCCCTTTAAAAGAGGGAGTATCGAGTATATAAGGTGTTCTTAGCATGCCTTCGTGGTGTAATGGGCAGCATACTCGGCGCGTATTCGAGAGGTCTGAGGTTCGAACCCTGGTGAGAGCATTGCTCATTTTTCATGTCTGCTGATCAAAATAATCTAATGTGTCTACAGCTTAATTAAATTCTATTCTAAGATTGCAGACTTTGAACAAAGAGTAATTTGAAAAATGATTTTCATAATTCAAAACGTAATAAAAGATAAGCTACACAATATGCATACTTTACTATTCTTAACTAGTTTTGGAATCTACTGTACTGGTGCTGCATAAAGACTTTTCAAAGTTTAAATAGCCTCCCCCCCCTTTTTTTTTTCAAAACACCATTTAGTGGCATACGCAGATTTTCATTAATTCTGCTGTCTACGTAATTACTGTTTTACAAATTACACAAATGTATTTAATGTCTGTGTAGCATCAGGCGGTGCTTCATCGTGTTTTGGTCGCTAAACAAATGTAGTTAATTCTTCAGTGGCATCAAGTAATCGGTTAAACCTTTTTCTTTGTCACTCTCTATTTTTGACAACGGCATAGGTTATTATAAAATGCTCATTTTGGACGTACTCAATCTACTCAGAAAATTTCGACTTCAAAAAATGTGACTAGAGAATCGAATTGACATAAGGATTTTTCCATAGAAAGACGCTTAAAAAATCAGTTATGCCCTGAAAGAGATTTGAACCACAGGTCTTCCAGTGTTAGTTAATTGTGCTATCACTTACACCACGAAAGCGTGCATGGGGGAATGCAAATGGAATTAACGCATCCACCACGACATTTTTGATGGCAAGTAACTTACAACCCAAAATGACGAGCAGCAAGATATCAAGTCGAGCAAATTGACGTTGGTGGCGAATTATTGTCTACTATAGGGGTCCTCAACCAGGGGGATGTCTCCCTAGGGAAAGTGTCATAGTTTCAGGAGGGGGAGAATGCGGTCAGCCTTTTATTTACCTGTTAAGTATTTAGTTTTGGTTTACAAATCTAAAAAATCTATTTTTATTCAAATTCTGTTATTTATCAGCATTTTATTCACTTTTCTTTTTTTACTGTATAAAATATACTAAAAAATAATATTAATTAAATAAATATGTATGCATTTTTCCGGTTTCGGAAAGGAGAGAGGGGGGGGAATGATCGTTTAACAATGGTGAAAGGGGTGCATGGGATAAAAAACGGCGGAGAATCCCTGGTCTACCACATATTAATTCGGGTGTTACAGGAGAGGAAGCCAGGAAACAGGAAAAATCAAGCGCCCCGTCCGCAAGATTTGATCCAAATATCTTCCAGCCGCCAATAGGACATGATAACCACTTACATCACAAAAGCACGCACGAGGGGATGGGATGCCATAATTCTTGACAGAAAGGATTGAAATTGACCACAGCTATTTTAATTCTTCTTATAAATTAAGTGACTCGAAAATATTTTATTAAAATAAAAGTCCCAAAAAGGGACTATAATAATACAAAACTGTAAACAGCAATTTATAGTTAAGAGAAGAAACTCATAATAGCACAGATGAATCAGTGTGAAACTGCAATCCGGTCTTTAATATCGAACGTGAGGATCAAATACAGCAAATACAGCATCAAATACAGCATTCGCTAAACCTTCGAAAGGTTCTCTCAGCAGTTTCTACTCTCGCAGGTAAGCTAAACAAGGCGAAATGGATTTATCGCGGGAGGTCCGCAAAGTGGGTCATCCTCGGAGGCTGTGGCATCCGGCCTGCCAATCTAAGTGCCACAACTTATCCGTGTCTCAGTTTCTGTTCGCGGGAGAAAGCTGTCGTGTGATTGGTCCTATTTTCTCCAGCGAGGAAGTTATATCCGGAATGATCCCGCATGCTTTTAAAAGATGCTGGACGGCTATTTTCGCTTTGAAATTGAACTAGGGAAAATCCAACACCACAGAGAAATTTTTTAACTTTATCATCGAACGCTCACTAATATTCATAGGAACGACATTCCGTAGAATCTACACTGCACGGGTTCGAAACAACTCAGCATCAAGATCTGCAAAGGAATGGCGTTATCGTACGACCGACAGACAGTGGCATAGCAAAATGTGGCATCCGGTGCGAAGTTTTAACTAGCCACCCCCATGTTTACTAAAATATAAAAAGAAATTTACTAAGGAAGAAATTTTTGTACTCGGTTAAGTAACGAGGCCATAACTTTAATTATTCAGCAAACAACTTTATATGAATGAAACAAAAAACAAATAAACTGCTTTTTTAACGTACATTGTAAAAAATGTTTTTCCATAGTGTTAGTGCCTTGTGTATGTTGGCCTCAGGAATTTTCTCTTACATCCACTATGTGTATCTTTTTGTTTTTGCGTTATTTATCAGGATAGAAATTCAAAACCAACATCATCAAAATGCTTTATTCTACTGATTTTTAAAAAGTACACGAGTAGTTAACATCGTCTTTTGCCATGGTTACGTTTTTATATCTCTCGCTTTGAATATTCATAACGCCATCTGGCGGTAGACTTTGGAAATTGGTAACATGTATAACATTATTATCATCGTAACGCAATTTAATGAAAACTAAATTTTTTAAGCTGTACTTCAACATGATATTTAGAATCTCTTCCGAACTTTTCGTTCCGCAAATTTTGAAATTATGTCATCAGAATCAATATCTTTAGCTATACTGTTTTCAATACACAAAATGGCTGAGCAAGAAAGTCGTGCTTGGTTCATAGTGAGAAGTAAACAAAAACAAGTATCTTTGCATCGCTCTTAAGTAGACACGAGTAACGTGCTAGACTGAGATAGACATACTTTTTACTTTATGCTCGGTTCTACGAGCGAATGGGCAATATTTTCCCATTCCACTACGTAAAACGTTTCCGCACCGACAATATTATTACGATGTTCGGGTTAAAAATATCATCATGTTGCACCGAAAGACTTGGGGCGAATGATGTTTGTGGCAACGATCAGACGGTGAGTCCTTAGGACCGGTTGTTTGTTTACTTGAGCATCAGCACAAATCGAAAGAAACGAGACAGAACATGCTCTCTACCCCGCAAAACACCTCACAATAATACTAAATCATAATAGCATCACATCGCTTATCCACAATTGCTGCAATCGGCGATTCTAAAGGCCCGTGTTATTTTAATGTAACAATAAGCGGTATTAATACAAAAACGGCAATTTTCTGTCACCCTTCAGAGCTGGTACTCGGTACGGGCCGCATCCATAGCACCTGCCGTCCCACGCCACTGTCGACAGAGTCTATGCCATTTCTGTTTCAACACTTCGGCTCCTTCATCACGGTCCCGGAATTTCGGAAAAGCTAAGCTCTTATTCTAGCACTTTCTGCTTTTCCAGCTACTTTGGTACGTGTTGCACTTCAGCTGCCTCCAAGTGATGCATTTGCGGTTCAAGGAATTGAACCGAACACATATAAGTACTAAACTTTCATCTAGAGCCGTGTTTCCCAACGTGGGGCCCACGCCTCACAAGGGGGCAATGCCACTGTTAAGGGGGGCAATTAGAAAATGGACTCGTTCAGAGTTTAAGGGGACAAAGGACGTTCTAAATATGTTTCATGAAGTCAAAATTTTTCGAAATTTCATTTTTTATTCCCCAGAATAAAGAAAAATGTAAGTAATGTATAAAATTTTAAATTAAGGTGATTTGAAATATTTTATAAAGAATTTCGCTAAGACATGGACATTTATGCTTTTAAAGGCATTAAATAATGACACATTATGCTTTCCAGACGTACTCGCACATTTCACCAACGAATTTTTTTATTTTTACTGTAGGAAGGCAACCGATATTATTCTTTCCTGAATGGCAACAGCAGCTGCTTTCAGCTTTTCATATTGGTTTATATTTTATTTCTTTCAGCCCTTAGTGAAAGGAGGTGTGCAAGCAAGAAAAACGTTCGTCAGTATTCGGAGGCATATTTAAATTTGGTTTCATACCCGGTCCATAAACGGTAACTTTTGTCTTTTTGCCAAAATGCCTGACCACGAATCAATGAAACTAGGTCGTCTTGAGGCACATTTGAAGGCGAACATAATGCTTATATTTCAATTTGAATTATTTTGACACTTTAAGGAAAATTTTTGAAAAAACAGTAATAATTAAGTCTCTATTTACTGCTCATATTGCAACTGTTAATCGTGCTCTTGAGGATATTTATCAAATTTCATTACTCATCGCTTAATATGGGAAAAGCCGTACTATAGGGGAGAATTGAATCAAACCATCAATATCAGCACTTAAAACTGTTCTAGAAAAAGATGTTAAAGTTATGCCACTAAATAACAATACTATTTGCAGATGAAAGATTAAATCAGTGAGGATATTGAAATACAACTTGTTGAAAAGGTGAAAACAAGAAAATTTTCTGTGCAAATAGATGAACCAACTTTGAAAGACAGTGAGGCCGCACTTGTAACTTGTGTAAGATATAGTCATAAAGGGGATTTTGCCGAAGAAATGTTCTGTAAATCATTAGAGAGCACCAATACCTCCAAAGATATTTATAGTAAGCTAAAAAATTACTTAGATATAAAAATATAGCAATAAAAAATAAAATACATCTTGTACTGCAAATGGTGCTTCTAATAAAATGGTTGAAGAATAAAATAAAGCACGGAATAAGAAAAAGGATTGCTTAAAATTGATAAAAAATGAGAATCCAGAAATGCTTCTTGTGCATTGTGTTATTCATAGAGAAAACCTGGTAGCTAAAAACAATTCGCCTGTTCTAAATGAAGTACTAAATTCAGTTATAAAGTGTATCAATGCTATTAATGCTAGGGCCAAATATGAATGTCTTTTCAAGTTATTTTATGAAGAACAAAATGAAGACTATATGAGACTTGTACTTCACACCGAAGTAAGAAGGCTGTCGAAAGGGAACTGCTTGAAAGATTTATGGAACTATTTGATACTCTTAGTTATTTTATAAGCGAAAAACCTGAAATGAAAAATCCGTTAACGGATGATAACAAGGCAATTGTGGATTATTTAGCCGATATCTTTGAAAAATTAAATATTAAATAAAGAACTTCAAGGAGCAAATAAAACTTATGCAACAGGAAGATATTTGGTTTCATTATCTTTGTTGAATTATGTCAGGCATATACTATTTACCACAAAAATTTTGAAAAGCCTCTTTGGCTCCAAAAATGTGATGTGACTACCGCTATACTTGTTATTGTCGATCATCTGAAAATTTTATAGGCTGATTTAAAAGATTTTGTAACTTAAAACAAATTGATTTCCCAACTTGGATGATGCAGCCAATGCTAGTAGATTTGGCTAATATTTCAAATATGCAGTAAAAAGAAGAACTCCCAGAAATTCAATGTAATCAGTCAATTAAAACTTTATTTAATATAAAAGGAGCGATGACATAGCTTTGTGAGGAAACCAAACAGATATCAAGCACAAAATTGCAAGACTATGTTACGTTCGTTTCATATTTGCGAAGCGATTAGTGCCATAATTTTCCCTAGGAAAAAAAAAAAAAGAAATCGGTTGGATTAATGAAACCGAAGACTTGAGACCAAATTATCTATTTACATAAATTTCTGCGCAATATCAGCGCAAGAAAGCTAATTTAAAAAAAAAAAAAAATCTGAAATGTTTCAGATTTTAAATTACGTCCAAAGGGGCGTTTTTTAACATTTTGTATGTTACCTTTCTTTATTAAATATCATGTTCCTCGCACTTAAACCATAAGATCCAGTGCAACAGCAATATCGCAAAATAGTTTTAAAACGAGCATATCTTTAGAATTTCCGATACAGAGACTCACGCGCTGGAGATAAAAATGTTTTTTCTGCACAACGTTGCCATTGCTCGCTTTGAAATCCTTGAGTTTGTTAATCAAAAATTCGTCAAAGTTTTAAAAAATAGGAAATCGATCATAAAACAAATTTCAAATTTCAAATTTGGTCTTCCACATGCTCATATTCGTTGGAGGATTACGTTATTCAAAATTCGATGACTCTATGTACCGTTATTTTATGACAATACGAGAAATATACATACATTTACGCAGATTTTTCATTATTTTTAATTTCTTCAAATATAATGCAGGACTCTAACATTTTATGGCAACAGTTTGAAAAGTGAACCGACATTTATGAGTCCGACGCAAAATGCCAAAACGAAACTAATAGTTCGGGATTCAAATCCCTTTGGACTAAAAAATAATAAAATAGAAACTTCACTAAAATTTTTTTTGCTTCCTTCAGTTCAAATCCTTGGTTTGCTCCAAATTTCTATCATTTCTTCCAAAGCTTCATCAGTTCTTTCGTGAACATTTAAATTTTAAATATTAAAATTATGTATATTGGGGGGAGTTTAAAATTTTAGAGAGGATTAGGTGGGGCATAGCACAAAAAAGGCTGGGAAACACTGATCTAGAGCTATTGGAACAAGTAACAGTTGATTTCATCAAAAGTCCATATATCATGTCAGTTTTTCAATTGTTGAGCCTGAGCTAACATTTGTAAGGAAATCGAAGAAATATTTTTCAAAATATCTCGTTCGAAATTAAAGTAGGAAATGGATATATTTTGGTTTCCACAAACGTAATTTTACTTAAAAGTAAATCTTGTAGATGGGACAACGAGATTCTGATAATTGCAAGCAGAGGGTTCCTATTTACGTAGAGTTCAACGAGGTAATAAAAGAAATAACTTTTCATTAATGCAGTAGACGTTCTTAAAATGTTCAAAAAATATGTTGAAGCTTATGGAAGAATTCTAAAAACCGCAACAGATTTCCGAGGCAAAGTAGTTGCCGTACAGTAAAAGAATACCTGTGAGAAATTACACAGAATTCTCTCATATGTTAATTCAAGACTGATTTCATTTTTTTTTCATAACATTGTTTGTTATAATTACGCTTCTTATTTCACGCAATTTTTTAACTATATTATTTAATGCAATATGAATGTTAAATAAACACCAAAGGAAATAAAATGTACTGCTGTACATCTTACTTCCACGTGGTGTAATCTGAGAACAAACATTTCCTGCTTCAAAACCGTAGAAATGCTTCTAAAATAAATTAAATATTGAACACAAAAGACAGTACTTTATTCGAGAGATGGCAATACCAAAATATCGGGACCTAAACGTCGAGACAAAAATATTCTGCTTCGCTTCTTACACTAGGGTTACCAGGATATGACTTATATTTCTGTAAATTGATATTTTGATAATGATACAATATTTTGCAAGAAGGTTGATGCACATTTGTGTATTGCACAGAAACGTAATAAACAGGATCGACATCGGCATAAAATCGATACGGCCACAATCGATGTTGGCTTAATGTAAAAAAGCTTAAAATTAGCATAGGCGCATTATCAAAAAGAAAAGAATTTACTCCAATTACTATTTTTTCAGACAGGATTTCGTTGAAAAGTAAAGGTATGGAATATCTAACACATGGAAGAAATATTTTTCGGCATTATAGTACAAGAGAATGCGCCACAGCATTACAACCTCTCTGTTGGCATACGAAGCTTTAATACATGCTTCCGTGATATGCTGATGAGGATCCTATACACATTTCTGAAAAAAAAAAATTTAATCGAAATCTTTCTTGAATATGGACTTTTGCTATATAAATAGCCATGGTCGAATTTATGCCAATATCAGTGTTTAAATAAACAATAAAGTGGAAAAACAGATCAATCGTATGCTGGTGTCGTCATGTTTTGCCGATCCCTATGTCATGTTCATCGTACGCTAGCATCAATCTTATGCCTTGTTGAACTAGTGCCAGTACCGCCCTTATGCAGTGCCTATCGTATACCTGGAACGTCTGTGCAGATGACAAATAGGCATAATCTTTTTACGAAAAATTACATCTTTATGAAAATTTCTTTCATCTTGTAGATCAGTAATGCTGGAGTGCCGATGTCGTTGTTGCGTAGTGTCAATCCCGTGCAGTGTCGATCTAACAAAGGTAAGCGATAATAAGACTGTAATATGCTTTCGTAGAAATATCATCAACGGTGTGACATTTCATTTAAAGTTTCTTAACAGTTAATACTTGATTCTTTTCTTTATGTTCGTTTCGTCACGCACTTGCTCAGTCCAGAAATTAATGTAGATTTTAGGGCAAGGGGCAGAGCTTAAATTAAGAGGAAGGCTAGTAACCGGCATAACTTATAGTGGAGACTTTGGCTGTTGCTGCTGACATCTTTTAGCTTATTGGAAAAGAAGCCACGAATTAGATTAGCTCAGCGATCCTCACCCTTTTGACTAACGCATACCATCTAAACAAAAATTGAAATCCTTAGTACCACCACTACATTTTACAATGATTAATTTTCAGTTTACGAAGAGAAATATTTAAAAAAAATATCTGAAAGCTTTCACACTTTATATTACTCCCAAACGGACTTTTTTAACGTTTTGTGTGTTACCTTTATTTATTAAATATCATACTCTTCGAACTTAAACCATAAAATTCAATTGAACAGCAATATCGCAAAATATTTAAAAGATGAGCATATCTTTAGAATTTCCGATACACAGTCCCACGCGCTGGAGATAATTTTTTTTTTCGTACAGAGCTGCCATTGCTCGCTTTGAAATCGTTGAGTTTGTAAATAAAAAGTTCGTTAAAGTGTTATAAAAATGAAATAGATGATAAAACAAATTCCAAATTAGGGTTTCGAGATGCTCATATTCGGTGGAGGATTACGTTATTCAAAATTTGATGGCTGTAAGTACCGTTGTTTTATCACAATGCGAGAAACATATATACATTTATACAAATTCTTCATTATTTAATTTCTTTAAATATAACACAGGACGAGAATACTTGGTGGCAACAATTTGAAAAGTGAAACGGACATTTAAGTTTTCAAAGCAAAATGACAAAATGAAGTTAATAGCCCTTCTGGGCTAACACCGTTTGGGCTAAAAAGAAAGAAAGAAAATCTGAATGCTTTCAGATTTTATATTAAGCCCTCCAAAAGGGCATTTTTTCAAGGTTTAATGTGTTACCTTTATTTAATAAATATCATGTTCTTTGCACTTTAAACACATAAAATTCAATTCAACAGCAATATCACAAAATATTCAAAAACAGCACATCTTTAGAATTTACGATACACAGTCTTGCGCCCTGGAGATTATTTTTTTCCCGTACAGTGTTATCATTGCTCGCTTTGAAATCGTTGAGTTTTTTTTAATCAAAAATTTGTTGACATTTTGCAAAATTTGAAATAGATAATATCACAAATTCGAAATTCAAAATTCGGCCTTCCAAATGGCCATGTTTAGTTGGAAGACAAATGTTTTTAAAACTAAGGAGTGTAAAGCAACAAGAAGACAAATACATAGTGTTAGAGACAGCAAACCGTCGTAAAAAATGCTTCTCATTGAAAATGGAGCAATATGAGGTCGGAAATGGCGAGATAAAATGCTGACATGTTAATAAATTGGTAAACTTATCAGGTTCAATGTTCCGCCTTACTTTCTTTGGGAACATGCAAAGACCCTGACTCGAACAGGGAGCTTACTAAAGCTATGTTCAATAAATGTGGGAAGTAGACAAGATACACAGGAAGGGTATACGAAACCCTTTATTTTTCACTCTTTACAATAATTTCCGTACTTCGGAATACAGAGCCCAACACTTTGGGTCTGAACGTAAGAATATAAAAATATTTAACTAAACTTTAATTTAACTTTTGAATAATAAACAAGGGCCTACGTGGAAGATTGGCCGTATATTAACAGGAAGCCGTATGTAGTACAGAGAACTTTTAACACTACAATACGTTTAAAATTATCACGAGGATTAAACCTCTGGCCTGGAAGGCAACCAGCAACCGAGTAAAACTGCTAAGGTAAGCGGCCTGCTTCGACTAACTCCTTCCTCTCTCTCGCTTGGCAAAAAGCCACAACTTAAGTACTTGGCGTTCGCCAGACGTATTTGCATAAATAAGTTAAAGCTTTTAATTCTGGCCGGAAGTAGAAATAAGAAGTGATAGTAAAGATTTAAAATAAAAATAAACGTTAGTAAAACTTAAGATCCTTACAAACTCTAAGATAATTAATGAGATACTATTATCTTTTTTATAACAACTTATTTTTATTTCCTATCAAATACAGCATCGGCAAATTTTGTTATGTCTACGGCTAAAAGAATATTTGTGGAAACGTACAACATCGAAGAACCTGGAAGAACCACGAAAACTGCTATGCAGACAGATCGTTCGCTTTTGCTAAAATCTATAAGTGGCTATTGACCTTGAACAAAGCTCAGATCGCATAAATTTACGAGTGTTAGAGAAAAAAAAAATTCAGTCAGGACGCTGGGGTTTTAATTTTTGAATTTAATAGTTAAAAATACTTTGCTTCTTTTGCGTACCACCGTTTGAGAACTCCTGGATTAGCTTATTTGAATAAAATGCACATGAGGGCTAACTACCTAAGCCAAGGGATGCCTTCTTGGGATACTTTTTAAAAATAACTGGGTCGTATTTACGTTACGAAATCACGGATTAAATTAGACATAAGCGCATAATATAAGGCACAAGCATGGTAAGTATGAAATTTACTAGAGGTTTAGGTTGTCCGACCTATTGATACTGTAACTTGATTACTGGACCTGTAGCCAATTATTTGGTTATGTACAAGTAATTTTGTGTTTTATTTTTTTTTTAAGTTAATTCACAAGTGGTGAGAAAATAAAATTAAGTAAATACCTTATATTTTAGTGTTATTTCTTTTTCCTGCAATCAGTTAAGGCAATTCACATACACAGTATAGGTAAAGTCTGAGGGTGATTGGGAGATGGAAGAAAGTAATTAGGTAGTTAGCCCACTCAGTTATGATAACGGGATCTTCTCGGGTATAGTTATTGTTGTTAGCTAATATACTCTTGAATATGTATTTTTAATTTATTTTATTGCGTCTGTATTTTGCTGTTTTCAACTTAGTATAATTTAGTTATTTTATTCATTAGCATTCGTGGTCTTATATTACTTACCCTATACAAAGATTGTTCAGTATAGATCCTCCTCGGTTCCCTTGTATCACATGTGATACAAAAGTTTCATAATTTTTTGTGAAGGCTGAGCTGCAAAAACAAATTTGGGACCGGTTGTATCACATAAGATACAAAGTGAAATACCTCATATATTTTCCTCGTTTAGTCAACAGATGGCAGTACTTGTCCATGATAGCGATTTCTAGTAGCATCTCTGAATCAAAACAAAATGTCTGCACGTCGTCGAAGTAAGTATTTTTTTTTTCTTATTTATATACAAATATTAAACTATTTTTAAAATATGCTTTCTCTTTGTATATGTACTTTTTACTAGTTAACAGCAAAAAAAGAAATTTTTACTACTGAAATATTAAAGTATAATGACTTGTGAAATTTGTTTGTATCACTTGTGATACAATGGGACCCAATCACTTATGAACACACTTTTTAAAGTCAATTTTGTTTTAATTTTTTAGTTATATTTTGGGGGGAATTTGAAGATTGATAGAAGTATTTCTTGAATTCAAATCTTTAGTTGAGGTGTTTGCATTTCCATTTTTACCCATTTTTTCCTGGATAATTTTTTTATTTAATAAGTATTTTTTTTTTCAGTGAAATATTTGACACCAGATGAAATTTTAGAGCTGATGAATCGCGATGATTCTGATTTGAGTTCACTGTCAGATGAAGATGATTATCAAAGCGACAATGGATGTGAGATGGATGATGTTGATGAAGATCAGGATGTAACTTTTGACTTTTCTGCTCCAACTCAATGGGGAATACATACAGATAAGTTCAATCAATCAGTTTCATTTGATTTTCAGGAGGTAGGATGCTTTGAATATCAAAGTACTGCACCCATTGAATATTTTATGGAATATTTAGATGAATGCTTTTTGAAGATTTGGCAAATTTCAGTAACATTCGATCCGTAACACGTACTGGCAAGAGTATTAATGCATCAAAAGAAGAAATGATGACATTCATAGGCTGCAGTCTTCTTTTGTCCTGCTGTGGGTATCCCAGGATAAAAATGATATGGGAAAGGTCCACACGGTTTTCCATTATAGCTGACAATATTTCTAGGGATAGGTTTTTTCAAATTCGCAACAATTTGAAAGTTTTAAATGATAATGATGTCGCAAAGGAAATAAAGGAAAAAGATAAATTTTGGAAAGTCAGGACAATGCTAAATAAAATACGAGAACGTTGCTTGAAGCAAAAAAGGCCAAAAATTGTTTCAATTGATGAACAGATTATCCCTTTTCATGGACAGGTTTCTATGCGACAGGTATGTCAGAGAAAGCCAAACCCAGTAGGAATAAAAGTTTTTGTAATGTGCTCTTCGTACGGTTTGCCTTTAGATTTCATCTTTTATGAAGGAAAGGGAACTGATGTTACATCTCCAGAGGATACAAGTTTTCTTGACTTGGGAGGAAAAGTTGTTCTGAAGCTTTCGGACTCATTATTTCCCGGCTCCTGGACCGGTATTTCGCTTCAGAATTGCTTCTTGACTTCCTCCTGAATAGAGAATTGCATTTAACTGGCACTCTTATGAAAAATAAAGTTCCGAAATTGACACAACTAAAGTCAGATTCAGAAATGAGACGAGAAGGCCGAGGGTCAATAGATCAAGTTGTGAGAGTGGATCAAAAAATTTCCCTTGTGAAATGGTTCGACAATAAAAGTGTTTTGCTGATGTCCAGTGAGCATGGGAAAACTCCCATCACAAAATGCAAAAGATGGTCGAAAACGGACAAGTCATACCTAGAAGTTGATTGCCCTCATATTGTAAAAAATTACAACGATTACATGGGGGGCGTCGATCATCTGGACCGTACCATTAGTTTCTACAGAATGAAGCACCGAACCAAGAAATGGACAGTACGAGTCATTCTGCATATGATCGACTTTACCATGTCGAGTGCATGGCTCGCGTACAGAAATACTATGACAGAATTAGGGGAACCTAAGAAGAACATTCTGGACTATTTTGCGTTTAGACTCAGTATTGCAAATACACTCATCCACGGCTTACTGAAGAAGCCATCTCCCACTCCTTCGCTAGCCGAAGATGAAAATGATGAACCCCCTCCAAAACGCAGAGTTACAACTTGCATTCCACATCAAGCAGCTCGTAACAATGAAGCTAGGCACATGCCTGAAATGGTTGGGGATAGAACTCATCGAAGTAGGTGCAGGAATGAGAACTGCTCGGCCTTAACAAATGTACAATGTACAGACTGCAAGGTTTTTCTATGCTTTACAACTAGTAGAAATTGTTTCAAGGCATTTCACGAATATAAATAATAATAATATGTACCTACAACGCCAATAAAACTTAATTTTCGTGTTGAATTTATGAATTGTATGTATTGTGTGATTAAAGACTAAGATTAAATTAATTACTTCAATCTTGCTTAATACTTAAGAAAATTCTGATTGTAGTGCCTTGTTCCTAATGTATCACATGTGATACATCCCCCCTAGCTTTCATAAACTAAAAAAAAAATTTTTTATTGCACTTTTCTACATCAAAGTGATCGAAACAACTATTTAAATATATCTTACAAAATATCAAGCTTTTATTTTTGTCTCGGGTCTGAGGAGGATAGACCTAGGCAACAGACACTTTTAGGTATTTATACTTGTTATGCATGTATTCTGGCATATGTATGCTTAGTATATCTTGCATTTATTCTATCATTATTTGTAGTTTTCTTAGTGTTTAATACATGTCTCATTGTATATGTATTCTGTAGTTATATTTTCGTGATAATGTGTTCTTGCACAGGTATACTTACAGTACGTTTTGTACTTTTAGTGATGTTCTCGTTAACTTTCCAACTTCGAATAAAGGCTACACATTATAGGTTTAAGCAACAGGCACCTTCATGCTTTTACATCTTTTTTTATTTCTCCCTCCGCCTCCTCCTGTTTTAAGATTGTAAAATATAATCTCGCCTAATTTTGTAATTACCTATATTCTTCACCTGAACAAAGTGTTATGTACCACTTACGGCATTACTGTGCAGCATTCATGCAATATAATAAATTATGAATCTGCAATAATATTTTAAGATTTAGATTAATAATTGCCGTCTGATTTCTGTGTAACCTTTGGTTGAAGATCTCATGTAGTAAATGGCTTTTGCCTAAATAATAATTAAACACCGTGAGTCTGACCAAGTCCTAGGGTTGGTAGTTGTTTCATGCAGTGTTATTTACAGACTTTGTGTCTCACCCGTTCGGCGAGGTGGTTATGTAGAGGGCTGTCAAAGTTTCTGCTGGGGTTCGAATTCCGGATGTCATAGACGTTTGTAGTTGGCTATCTCTCTTCCTGTAGGTGTAATATCGGTCGTCCTTTGTGGCCCACCGGGGGCAAAGGCCTCAGTGATGAGACTACTAAAAGATGGATGGGTTCAGCCATTCTCGAAGAATGGTTAACAAGTTCCACTATTGAAGGGAAAACATACACTGCATAGAATGAACGTCAGAGAGAAACGACACGGCGTAGAGTTAACAGAACTGAGAATCGGCACCAGTATACAGATTTCTCAGCATCTGATCTACAGGATAATAAAATGTTGATAATGGGGAAATAATGAGAAAGAGGATTATTCACAATTATTTATTGCACACATCACCGTCATGCCGGCTTAGAATCGACATCAGCATGGTGTATACAAGACTCAACATTAGCTGCGTTGCGTAATTAAGAGGAACAATATTTAATTAAAATGGCACTATTTCAGGGTGCCTGCAGGTCAACGTAGAGAACTCTGCGAAACTACTGGCTAGGATCTGTACCTAGGCAATCTCGGCCACGGGGGTATAAAATTCATGAACCTAGTGGTTCTGGAAAGCCCGGAAAGGTCACTCATTGACCGGATTGACCGGCCCGGTGATCTGGCCTGTCCTGGAGCAGAACGGCTGTAGTAGTCCGGGGGCTAGAGTCCCGGGTACGCTGGATAATGTCCTTCTACGACGGACAGCCCAAGCGATTGGCAGGTAGCAAATAGACGACCGGCGTCGAATAATAGGCGAAAGGTAATAGTGTCCTTCCGTCCAAGGAGCGGGGAAGGAGGTTGAACCTCCGGAACCAATCTGAAGGGTTTGGGCCATGTAATGCCGTAAAATGGCCTAAGAGCCGGGCGAGGCACGTAAGAAAACTGTTAAAATTCTCTCAGAGTAATATCAGTTTTCGTTATGATTTCATCATCATCATCTTTCCTCTTTTATCCCCTGGAAAGGGAGGAGAACTGCAGCTATTTTTTTAATGTTTTCAACTACATTATTCTCAAAAATATACGTTTTCTTCATCTGAGGTCCGTAGAAGAAATTTTGAAAATGATATAATTATAAGTTATGACTTAGCTAACTTCTTCAGAGTAATATCCGTTTTCTTTATGAATTCATCACCACCATCTTTCCACTCTTTTTGCCCTGGGAAGTGAGCAGAATTAATTGAATTATTTTTTAATGTTCTCAACTACACTGTTCTAAAAAATATATGCCTTCTTTATCTGAAATCCGTTTAAAAAATAATACCCATATATTTATTTATTATTAGAAGGTATCATGATCTGAAAGTTTCTTTTACTTGATTCACGTCTTATATTAAAAACTATATTTTTGTGACCAGCGGTTCAACAGACATTGCATTTCTAATCTAAAACCTTTGTGGGCTATATGTATCCTTGCGAAATCGCTTCATTAATTTTTGGCATTTTACGCCGGTTATGTATAACCTATGTTACAGAAGTGTCATGATGTATTACAAAAAAAAAAAAAAGTAATTCAATTACAACCTTATTCAGAATGAAAGTTATATATATGCCATTTACGAAAAAATGAATTTCGTTTTTACCTGTGCAGAATGAAAATTGATTCTGAGGTCATCGTTACCTTCAAAATGAATAATGTCAGAGGAGACACTAATACCATTCACAGGGGAGAGTTAGTTGGATGTTGTGAACCGGTTTAACATCTCAAACGTGAGCCCGTAAATTTTGTTGGTGTTTGATCGAAACCTAAGAACTCGATCCCTTTATTTTAGAGAAGGGGCTTTAAAATCTCTGCTGCTCTTCAGTTACAAGATTCTTTTTAAACGAAAGTTATGAGATGCGATTGCATTCCCTTTGGCGCTTGTGGCAAGGGCGTTCAATAATGAGTCAGTTCTGTGATTCGAATGTCGCCGATGATACACTTGAATGTCTCACGTTCCCGGCTTCGAAAATAACTTGCCAGTCTCTACAGTGGCATTACATCTAAAATGTAGCTGGAGGAAGGGGGAATCACCTGAAATATCTAAATATGATGCGTAAACATCACGTGGATTTTTTTCAGTTAGGTTCTGTGCTTTGTTCCAGTCACACTTGAAAAGTTGTTGTTCTAGTGGTGCAAATGGCAAGTACATCCAGCTATTAAGTTTATACGGTATTTCTCCCACTTTCCTGGCTCGCCTTCGTGGTGTAGTGGCTCTGCACGCTGGGCCGGTATTCCAGAGGTCCGTGGTTCGATTCCCGGCGAAGGCGGTGCTAATTTTTCATCTCGTCTGCTTCCAAAAAATATAACCTAATGTATCTACAGTGACGCCCGAACTAAAAGGGTGGTGGATGATGATTTCTCCCCTCCTGGATTTGGCGACTGGGTGCCCTAAAAACCCCAGTCGCCCTTTGAAAAGGGGAGTATATAAGGTATTTCTCCCACTTTCCTAGCGTGCCTTCGTGGTGTAGTGGTTCTGCACGCTGGGCCGGTACTCCAGAGGTCCGTGGTTCGATTCTCGGCGAAGGCGTTGCTAATTTTTCATCTTGTCTGCTTCCAAAAATATAACGTAATGTCTCTACAAGTTCAGTGGTTAGCATCCAGGTGTGAAGGTAAAGTTTAGTTTCATGTTTCCTGATTCGAAATGTTAAATGGTCTTTACAAAGTGAATTTTTTTTATGCACAGTTAAGTAATTGGAACAGTGTCAACAAGTAGGAGACAGGTGATGGGTGACGGAGGACGGGGACGCCTGGCGTATAACATAGGTAAACAGGCATATGTCCCACGTCCTCCACTATCTCGAAGAAGCAACTCGCTGGAGCCCCGTGAGGCTGCACCGGGAGTTTACATGGCCATACAGGTGCTAGATGTCGGGTAGGTTTTACATAGGACGTTGTTAATAACACAAAGTAACTTAAAAAAGAATATAAAGGATAGCATTTTAAAACACTAAAACACTCATATAAGCTGAAACACATAGATATACAAAATTAAACGTAAAAGCATAAAAACACATCGTAATTACGTAACATAAAGACATAAAAACACACACGAGAATAAATAACATGACACATAGAATACGTACGGAAACACGTAGAGTACATAAATGCAAATATTGCACACAGAAGAAACATGTGAGATATAGTAAGGTGCGCGTAAAGCAGTAAGCGCTGTGTGGAAATATGCTCAGTACCCATAATACATAATGTACATACTTTCATTAGGGGCTTCTGTTGCATGAATTTATATATTTTGTT